ATGATAACACATCGAAATTTATAAAACATTACCCCTGCTGTTATACACAGTTAGATGTGCATGTATCTGAAGATACTTCTCTTTTTTAGGATGTTAAGTGCAAATCAAAGTGAATGAATTTGTAATAAGCTACGAGGGTTGTTAAAAAAATAATTGAGACATTTACTTTCACTCCATAAAGAAATAATGAGATAAGTTTATGAATATTCATCAACATTTTATCAAGAATAATTAAAACAAATGTGCAAAATTTCTTTTTTTAATGAGATAATTAGATAAGTCCCGGTGAAAGAATAAACTTGCATATGTGTATTGAACTGAAGCAGCATCGCTACGTCATATTAACGTCACTCCAGCCGTAGATCTTTTCTCGTGTAAACACGACCAGGCATCTTTAACTATTCTTTCTCGTCATCACATATAACATCCTAGAAATCAAACTCCCCCTTTTCTTAAACGACTTTTTAAAAAAAAAAATTAAAATTAAATGAATTTTGTGGTGTTGCTACCCCAATGTAAAATTATATGAAGTGTCTTATATATTAATACAGGTTGACTTATCATCATGCAGTACCGATTTTTCACCGCGGGTCGCCGTTATTCGGTTCTTAATACTTTATGGTTGTCCGGAGTCTTTGTTCTTACTCTGGTTGACTTATATACTTATATATATATATATATATATATATATATATATATATATATATATATATATATATATATATATATATATATATATATATATATATATATATATATATATATATATATATTTATTTATTTATTTATTTATTTATGAAATGAATTTAATTTTTGAAGATTCATGAGGACATGAACTACGACGCTTCACGCCGGCATATTTCATGAAGCGCAGTAGCGCTTCATGATAAATATGCCGGCGTGAAGCGTTGTAGTTCATGTACCTCATGAATTTTTAAAAATTAAATTCATTTCTTATATTTACATTATTTTTCTGATGATATGTCTCATATAACGCCATTCAACTGTCAATTTTAAAGCAAAAGAGTTTGCACTATAGTTTTGACGTCAAATGAGGTATTATGACGTAACAATGGAGATATTCATGCCCATTCATGGTAGTTCATGAGAAAATGAACTGTATTCTATTTCGTAAAGAATCATAGGGGAAATTTATTGGAAATGTAAATATATATATACATGTATATATTATATATATGGTCGATGCGCCTCCTTGACGTCAAATTTCATTTTGTTGTCTTATTCAGATTTGTAAATCGTGCCTAATTTTTTTATGATCTCCGTATTTCTGATCGAAATTCAATCAAACTTGCACAGAATTAAGTCAAAATAAAATTGAAAGATTATATTCATAATTTATTTTCTCTCTTACTAAGGGTCCAACAGGAGTTTGAACGTAGGTGTTACATATTTTCAATATCTGATTTCGTGACTGCGCCGGTAACCCCTACCATTCAAACATTAATATACCATTGAAAAGACAAAGCAAACTATTTGTAAAATATTCTTTGCTTTTATTATTTCTTAGTATTTTTCAAACATATATGCCAATTTTCTTCAAAAGGGGCGTTCATTAGAAAAAATAATAAACAAAATGTCTCAGTAAGTTCCAAACAGCCCTCGTATGCTTAGTAATAGTTTATTGAGGTAAATACAGTTGAATTAATTGTAGCTTTCGAGATGTATACCTTTAATTTTTTCTTTCATGATTTTTATTTCTCACTTGGGAGTGAACATGTCTGCTTCGGTGATAGATGACGCTGGAACACCGAAGGAAGGTCTTGACATCTGAGTCATGTCTGTGCTTGTAAGTATATTATTCACAAGGAACGGCACTTAAAGAAAGGAAATAGCCTATGTCTGGCATGCTGTTTTTAGAACTGTGTTGCTTCTTGCAAAGTTTGTTGAGACAACTGAAGCTTGTTATCGAGAACGCTCTCTAACTTAGCCTGATTCCCGAGGCCTTTCCAAGAGAAAGCCGTCTCGGCGAAATTTGACTGAAGTGACTTTGAATCAATCCGCGAGGAACTGAGCCTACATATATGTAGCGATGATTTGGTAATTGGCGGGACGGGAATTGGTTCCATGGTATACATAATAATACATATAAGCAGAAGAATAGTGCTTTTTGTTGACGCATCTTTGGAGATTTCACTTTGCAATTGGACATTGTTATGTGCACTTTTTCTCCCACCATAGATTGTTGTTCTTTATTATCTTCGTAAAGTTTCTTTATTTGCTTGTTATTTGATCCCCAAGTCTTGTAATTGTTTTAATTGTACATTAGTCCAATTCGCAAAATTAGAGGATTCATTGATTGATTTATTGATTGTTCTTTAACTCCCCATTCGAGAATGTTTCACACATATAGAGACGTCACAGTATGCCGGTGATAGGCTTTAAATTTAGACCTATACTCGGCACTCAAGGCCATTGAGCAATGAGGTTCTTATCGTACCGACACGAAACCTCGGTTTTAAGGACTCTTCCGAAAGACCGGTGATTTTCACTCCTTTTGCCGGGCACTTGGCGAAAAACTACCTATGTTTACCTGTTAAGTTTGACGCGGCGCGGCGAACGAGATTCGAGCCCGGGCCCCCCGATCACGAAGCGAGCGCCATCCCAGTAGGCTACCATGACCGCGTAAGATTAGAAGAATCTGTAGAGTTCTTCGTCCAGCGTGTTTACGCCAGAGTTCAAAGCTAATAAAAAAAATTTCAGCCGTAGAAACACAAAAGAAACGGCTAGAAATCAAACAAGGAATGTTTTGAAAGCATGCACCAACAATGAATTTGATATATGCAATTACGTCACAAAGGATACTTTAGTAGGCTAGATTATGTACCATAAAGGGTGAAGAGGGACTGAAGGGATATAACTAAGTTGTTAGAATATACAAAAATTAAGTCATTTGAATGAAACATAAAAAAGAAATAAATGATATATAAACCTAAATTATACACATATTTTTTTTTTTTCAAATTTCAATAGATTTACATTGAATTTACTAGTTCCAGAATAATTTCAAAATTCCTATCAATGATGAAATAATGTTTAATATAAAAACGTGATTCGGAGATTCCTGATTTACTCAATGTGCAGCAGTACAATGCAATTTGAAGTCAAATTTGTTTTAAAGAATTCTTGAAGTCCAAATAGTTTTGATTACGGAGATTTTATTTTACATGCACATCAAACAATATTTTAAATACTAAATATCTATAAATTCTCTCTATTTTTTGGTTTTCCTCATGAAAAAAAATTCAAAATGTTTTAAGCCTTTGGCAAAGACAGTCAGCACTTTTTTTATACACCACACGTCTGAATTTCCAGCAATTTCTAAAGTAAAAACTTTATGTGATCCGAAATAAATACTCAAGACGACTCATCTTAAATCAAAATATTGAAACCGTGGGGGATAATCGTTTATTCAGGAACTTCATAATGATGGCTTAGTAGCTATTCATTCATTGGCCATTTAATTTCCTATTTCTCTTTTTGTTGTGGTAATTTACATTGTTCTGCGACGAATTTATAAAGAAATGGAGAGCCTCAAGTCGCAAAACGTGCATTAGTGTTATCAAGTATGCATTCTGATACCAAAGAATTCTGGCCAAAGGAGACTTACTGAGTTATTCTTTTTAAGTAACAAGAATAAAACCATTCATTGAATATTTAATAATATTTTCAGAAAGTTTTTTTTTTTTTTTTTTTTTTTTTTTTTTTTTTTTTTTGATAATAAAAAATAAGAAATGAGAAATTACCTAGTTCATGTGATTATCTTTTTCATACCTGTGGCCAGCGTTTCTACAGATGCCAGATTTTTCCTTTAGTTCCTCTCATTTTTTCTAAATTAATTAAAAATATCACAATTGATAATAAATTCTTTAAAAAAAATTGACAGACGCACAATAAATAAAATAAAAAATAAATAAAGGTTGTCAAACTACACTGCAATTCGATAATGATTCTTAATAAGATACCTTATGACTATGAATTTTGTGTGCTTTTCCTAAGAGAAATAAGAGCTTTTCTTTCATTGTTATATTTTGTCTTAAGTCTTTCAAAGTCCCTAAAAGTGAATTAAAATTTTAGCACGAGGCCCCTGAGAATACACTTTACTTTACTTTAAGGATATATTGGTCTCCAATGTGCGTGTTCTATGTGGCATTCGCTAAGCTTTCCCATGATGATATCACATTTGCACTTTTTCTGGAATTTACAAAATACCTTAACCTTGTTACTTTTTCAACATGATCTCCTGCAGCCCAGGTAAATAGAATGGTTTATGCCTGGTCACCACGGATGTTTAGGCAAATCTGAAATGAATCTGTTTTTGACGTGATAAAGAGATCAATAAGCATTTACTTATAAATATGAATAGTTAATCACCTCGGTCGAAGGTACATGTACTTCGTAAATGAACAGTTCGTCAGATATATAAAGAATATTATATACTGAGCTCGATATAATATGTCAAACCAGTGGATGTGGAACATAAATTGTAGTATTCTATTATCAAAATAATATTTGATTTGTGAATTCAAATCAGGTCATTTATGAATGTCTCGTGCAAGTATTTGACTTTGAGTTTTGATCATTTAAAAAAGGGAAATTTTCAGTACATGAAGTGTTTTACTTTTTTTGTACACCGGTTTCATACGTGATTTGGTTTTGGGATAAATCGTAACCTAGGCAAAAACACAAAACGCTTAGAGTATAGAAGGTGGAATCAGATTCCTGGGAGGGGTAAGTATCCCAAAAATGGCCAATCACACCCTTCTTCTTGAGCCCTCTGTGTTGATTAGGTGGACATAATACGACCCAAATTTAATTGCAACTATATGTTAAAAAAAAAAAAAACTTGTGTTCCACGATAGAACTTTTTGGGGAATCTGTAGAATTAAAAAGGCTGCTCCTGGAATTAAATGATCTTGTTTTCAGAATTCTTTTCTCCAAAAAAATAAACATGCTCATCAAAACAACCTAGAAAGAAACATCCATTTCATCACTTTATTTTTATGAAGTTCAATAGCCTCTAAATTAGCTATAAAACGTTGATTAACACGTGTAAAGGAAATTGAAAACATTTGAATGTTATGTAATCACATGCTTAAACTATACCATTCAGTTAACTGAAAGGTGAATAAATATTTACTGAAAGATGGCCTGATGGCAGAGCTTTGCAATTCCCTCATCTTTCCAAACCTTCCAGTGAACATTCAGTTGACTGAAGTGCATAATTTTATCCTAAATCACTTTTAAAAAAATATATCTTTCTGTCTTAATACATTGTTAATTTTGACAATCACAAATTGTCGTCCAACTGAGAACGTTTCTTTATATTTCCACTCCAATACTCAGCAGAAGAGAAAAAGTCACCAAAATGTCTAATTTCTGCAAGGGAAGCATGCACAATCCGCCGGTTCTGTAATGGAAGTGGAAGGACGTAGGCCTGGCAATACGATACCGTTTTCGTAACATTCATCTAGGACGATTTGTCGTGTCAGTAGACGCCCCTCTTTACAGCATTTGCAATCCTGAAAATCAAGCATACGAAGTGTCAATATTTGTTGGGAAACAAGTAGACCATATTGAAGAATAACACCTCAGATCATTTAAAAGTATATTTTCTGTAATTGGGACGACTTTCTTGTTGAAGATTGTCTTAAAGATGAAATTCAAGCAAATAAAATCTATAACTTGCGGGTGTACATTTAGAAAAATCAGGCTGATGTTGAAAATTATTGACTTTAATAGGAAATTCGATTATGGATTATCCACTTTTAGATCTTTTTAAGTAGAGTATAGTAGATCATTAAAAAGCTGGATTTTTCAATTCGTAGAGGAGAGTATATGTTTTCTCTCAAATGAGTACGAAAAAGATTGTATTATAGTTAGAGTTTTGTATCTGAAATTATGTAAAAACCTATTGCTTAAAAAAATATTTAAGGTATGTCACTCGTCTACTTCTGAAAAAAGTTTCGTCAGAACCTCTAACTTCAAAACTGTTTATTAAAATTTCATTTTTATAACATATTTCAATTAAACTATGTAAATTATACAATATTCACAAAATCATAAAGAAGCAAGTATCGAACTCTATACACAACATGTACGAACGAAGGAAACTCTGGTTGAAGTCTACACATTGTTCCAAGATTTTTTTTTTCATTACACTAGAAAATATTCCAAACTCCCAATAATTTTATTTGGCATAATTCTATGCAGTGCATAGCAACATGGTGGCTTAAGCATAGCAACAAACTTACTTGACAAAAATCTAAACAACGATTTAATGCATTTTCATAAAATAAATTATCATTTACATCCTCAGAATACATGATTTTTATGTGACATCATATTTTCGTCGCTTATACGGCTCGGATATTTCCGAATTTGTCGGAAAAATACGAGAAGTTCGGAATCTCGATCCCATTGCATGGGAAGTCTGCAAAGAAAGAGAATGTTTCTCTTTTAAAAAAGCTGAACTTACAAGACGCAGTAAACGCAGGCTAAAGGAGTATACAGAAAAGTGTAACGTTTTAAGCAGAATTCAAAACAAAACTTTGAGAGGTGTATAAGCAGTGGCTGCAGCGTTTATGTTGACATCCTTCACAAACTATCACGTTTCACGAACGATTCATGATTAACGCACAATTAAATCCATTATGAACGATCCTTTACTCACACGTTTTTACATGTTACGATACCTAACGCACACGCACAATTTTTCAGGCAAGATTGTCAGAAATATTCAAGAATGACACCCCCCCCCCCACCAGATTTCGAGTCATGCTACATGAGTAGTTTTCTAAATATACATCTCAAGAAATGCTTTTGCTAGTATAACTCTTGTCAGGAGTGACATAACTTAAAAATATTAAACTTATTGCTGGAAATATTTTTTTGTCTTTTCCTTGGAAATGAAATATACCAAAAATCCTTTTTTTTTTCATGCAGTTGGCTTCCCGCCATTCTTTTTTTTTTCTTATGTGTTGTTTTAATTAAATACTAGATTTTCGTTTTTCAGATTTGTGTTCTGTTTTGGATATTTCTATTATTTACTGGATACCCCCTCCCCCTTTTACCCCAATTTCCACGCTAAAGAAAATGAGTACAATACCTTTTTAAGATCTGGGAACGTGCTGACATTTGGTTCTGCTTTAGATTGGCATACTCCCTCACACTCGTTGACGGAGGGCCTTGCCACACATTCCACAGTTTTCTGTACGCCATTGTACGTTACAGACATAGTTCTTGTAATGTCCATTTCTATCCTCTTTGTGTTGCATGAGTCATGTGCTTGGGGTCTTCTAAAAGCACCAAAACGAGACCCTGCGCTAGACCGGAAGCGGGATCCATCTGTAGACCGGAAGCACACCAAAAATCCGAGAAAAATGGACAGATGACAAGAAACCATGTCTTAAAACTGTAGCGTGATAGTAGTCAATATCAGTTATTATATTATTATTAATTGTCAGTGGAAAATTTTTAATGTAAAAAAAGAAAATCTTTTTTTTTCACGTATAATCCTTGTTTTTGCCCGAATTCGTTCTTTAAACAGAGTTTTCAATGAAATTAATTTCTTCCGGAGAAATCCAAAAAGTTTCAATCTACCTGATCACTGCTTAACCCACTTAGTACCATATATGTTTATACCTCTAAGAAAAGTCTGGAGATAACTAAAATTTATAGTTTCATGGGTCTTATAGGAGGAGAATAAAGGAATATTGATTTTTTTTTCTGCGAAACGTGATTCTATCGTTCGAAAGTTATGAAACATTACACCTAATGCGAAAAATCATCAGCTGTGCATGTAGACACTTATCTTCTTTAGTGCTAATCAAGGAAAATGAATTGGTTACAAACTATGTTATTCATAACTAATGGAAGCAAATCCAAATGAATTAATTGAAGCAATCAAAATGTATCAAAGACATTTTTTCTGAAGACTTATTTTGACTATGTCGGAAACGTTTTTCTACTTTTTAAACTGATAATGAAATTGATTTGATTCATATAGACTGCATTATTAAATCTAAATGTGTTGTGTTTTAGTATTAACTACTATTATATGCTTAGCTCTAGAAGGGTTTCAAAATTCCTATTAAAGACAAAAATAATATTTGACCTCAGGACGTAATGGCATTGACATTTATACACATAACTGGTTAAAAAAGATAAGTTTTTTTCTTAAGTCCAAAAGGTGATAATTACAAAATACTTTACTTTTACTTTATACATTCACGCAACAATATAGTAAATATATAAAGAACTTTCTAGCTTTTCCTCAGCGTTGTTAGAGTGTTTAAACAAATCAATGTTAGAGAACGTCAGTAAACACTCTCTTTATAGACCACGCATTTGAATTTCCAGGAAATCTAAAAGTAAAAACGTTATATGATACGAAATAAATACTCAAGAAGACTCATCTTAAACCAAATATTGAAACTGTGGGAGAAATGTCATCACTTCAGGAAGACATTTACAGCATAACTGTTCATTTACTGAAACATAATGTCTTTCGGCCATTCAATATCCTGTTTGTCTTTTAGTAACGACAATTCAGCTGGTTCTGCGACACGTTTAAAAAGAAAATTTGAATCTCAATTTGAAAAAAAAAATAAGTGCATTAACGTCATCAATCGTTCATTCTGATACCAAAGTACCCTGGCCAAAGGAAACGTATTCAGTGAGATAATTTTAAATTCATTGTAATAAGAATAAATCCATCATGGAATAATTTATAACATTGTCAGAAAGGTTTTTTTATAACAAAAAAAAGAGGGATTAGAGAATACTTATTCAAGGTTTTTTTTTTTTTTTCATGTCGTGATTAATGCTTTGCAGGTGTCTGAGGATTCTGTTAGATCCTTTTATTGATTTGCTTAAAATTTCAAAAATTGTGATTGATATTAAGTCCAGAAGAAATGACAAGAAATAAAGAAATATATATATATATATATATATATATATATATATATATATATATATATATATATATATATATATATATATATATATATATATATATATATATATATATATATATATATATATATATATATATATATATATATATATATATATATATATATATATATATATATATATATATATATATATATGTGTGTGTGTGTGTGTGTGTGTGTGGGTGTGTGTGAGGGTGTGTGTGTGTGTGTGTGTGTGTAAGTTTACAAACAAAACTGCACCTCAATACTGATTCGTATTAAGACATTTTGAACATTTGTGTGCTTTTCCATTGAAAAAAAAAGCTGGTCGATCATTTCACTTTCTCTAAAGTCTTTTAAAGTCTAAAAATTGAATTCATGTACAGGCATATTACTTTTGCACAAACGTTCTCCTTGAGTCCGAGAGAACACATTAATCTAAAGACAAAAAGGTCTATGATGTATGTGTTCTACTTCTAGACATTTGCTGACCTCTTTTATGATGATATAACATCTGCACTTTTTGTCTGGAATTTACAAAATATCCATATAAAATTTCCAATAAATAGGCTTATGATTGCTCGTCACGAATGTTTAAGAATCTTCGAGCGCCACTTTTCTGAAACAAATCTGTTTATCACCTTTTGGCTTGATAAAAATAATTCAAAATTTGTCTGTAAACAGACACATATATGAATAGTTTATCAAGCATGTTGATTTAATGCAAATGTACAGGTTTCGTAAAGAAAAGTACGTTAGATACATAAATGCTCTACTACTTAACAGAATATATGCTCTGTAACTAGATAGCTTTCTAAAACGTCAATATGATTAATTAATAATTTAAAGACAGCATAAAATTCGTATCTTCATTAATCATCTACAGAGAAAAAATCCTGTAGAGAAAAATATCTTATGAATAAACAAATTTCAAAAACAGCTTAAATTGAAAATCTTAGTCATAATTTATTTGAACATGAATTTATGTGAAAATTTCAGACATTGTCTTTGCCGATATATGTAGTAAACTTACACTTTTTATCTCGCTATTTTAAATGTTGTAGTTTGAGGTGTTTTTATATACAGGTCATTCATAAACCAGCACACTCTGGTTACAATTAAACTTTCATGGAAAAGACTTTTTCAAAAAAATAATAAAGTTTTAAAATGCTAATCCAGAGGAACGTGATATTTCACCTGCATTTCAAATTTATTGCAGAATTTAGGCAGATGTGTAAATAGAGAAAATGGAACAAATGTGTCAACATGATCAGTGCACTGTAAAAATATTCCGAGACCGGACGCGTTAAGATTTAGTTAGTGGACCAAAAGTTGTGAAACGTGTCGTAATTTTCCGTTACTTTCCGGTATACTATTACATCAATTTCTGAAGAATTCCCCAAACTTGCCACATATCCCCATCGTGATGAGTTTAAAATGTTGCTGTTACGTCCTTTACAGGGATTCTTCTCGCGGAGCATTTCCCTATTTACTCTTATTTATTGGTGCATCATTTCCATAAACATCTTCATCAATTCGTTCCATGAATGTTTTAAAATAAGTCTGCCGCCCCGCAACCAAAACAAAAGGAGACCTCAAACGTTTGTTATCAGCTTTTCAAACGGACAATTAAACTTATCCTAGGTAATCCGAAATTCCTCTGATCATTGTTTGATGTTGGTCATGTTTATCAAAACACGGAAGAGGGAGTTAAAAAGTAATTGCAGGGTGTTCAATTGATGAGACCATTAGACACGAAGCAGACATCCTTAATTACTGGGGAGTTTGTTTTCCGACGGTATCTATTTAACGAACAGAGTAAATAAATCGTTAGTTACAAACTAATCAGGAATTGTAGGGCAATTTAGGTCACCACTAAGAGGACATATTCTTTTGAATTAAATATAAGGCAATAAAGAAACTTCGATCTCTTTCGATAGTATCTGAAACAGGAAAATTTTAAGGTAATTTATAAGAACCACTTGCACTAAAAATAACACTATTATCAATTAATTACTAAAATGCATGAAAATGAGCACCGTCCGTTTCATATAAACAGAGAATTTGTCATAGAATAAATACTAAATCGCTATTTCCTTCAGTTGATAGCAAAAGTATTTTAGTAAATTTTGTTTGAGGCAATAATCACCCGGCTCGATTTGTCGACTAATCGCATAAAAATAATATTTCATTGTAATTGCAATTCAATGAATACTGTGACGAAAAAATTTCATATACTATCCAAACCAAGGCCATCTTTAAAAATTTATTGTTTGGTTGCCCTCTCCCAACCGACTTGCTAAAAGTGGCCCGGCTCAAACCTTTTTTTAATCTCCGGGAAACAATTATTTTTTTAATGCATTTCTGAAAATGGATTTTGAAAAATCAGCATTGATGTTGAAATTTTCTAGGAAAAGAAATTCCCACCTACATGTATCTACCGACCAAAGTTTTTTCATCCTCAATTGGAAGAGGGCAAACAAACATTATTTTAAAGTTGACCCTAAGATTCAAATTATATTATTTTTATAAAGAATTTCTGTTGTTTGTTATAGTTATTGAACAAATTAAAAATTTATCAATTTTATTCATTTATTTTATTTATTTATTTTATTTATTTATTTTATTTATTTATTTATTTAATTATTTACATGCATGTATATGTATGTGTGTACGTGTTACATAATATATCCCAAGTTTTTAATTGTTAACGTTCGAGTCTTTGTTTCTAAACCATTAAAAATACACCCGAGCACATTTCTACTTTACTCTTTGCATTGATGAAAATATGCAGAAATATTTGAACCTTTGAAAAAATTGCTTGATTTTAGATCCCCCTTGTTGTAGTACAAAATATCATATGTAGACGAATTTCAATCCATTAAGAATTTTTTCCCTTATGATACTTTTTTATCATATACTATGCACCAGGGCCCAATTTTACCACAGAAATAACTACTTACCCAAATTTTCACTAGACAGTGTGAAAAATTAGTTGTCAAAACTTTCCAAATTTGAATAAAATAGAGCCTTTGCCATTTTAAACTGATAAAAAGGAGAAATTAATTCGGCAAAGTAAGTTTTGAAATTAACATGTAGTCAACCCTTTTGGAAAACAGCTAGCCCTAAGCATATGAAGACAATCTTTGTTTACCAGAAGTTTGTTTTCAATTATCTTGTTTCAAACATTTCGCCTGGTAACAAATCTGGACAGAGTTAATGAGTCCACCCATGTTTGTGTGTCCATCTGCAAGGGGAATAAAAAAGGTAAGAAGTAAAACCCATAACAGAACTCTAAACAATGGCAACTCCTCTGCCAAACACTGACATGACGTGTAGGGGGTGTTATCTTTCACATTATGAAGAGAGAACCCACTGAACGAAGGACAGTAGATATATCTATTAATTCAGGATGGCTTCCTTTAGAAAGGTAAATAAAGTTACCTTGTTAAGGTGAAATTTTTCATAAATAAACACAATTTTAATACAGTAGATCTGAATATTTTTAAATTGAAAAGAAAATATTGATTTATATTCCTGTACGATAGTTTATAATGTATAAATGTTGATGTTTTTCAATATTGTTTATAGAGTCAATTTTATAATTATGCGTAAAGTCCAAAATCAAGTAGGCAGATAAAAATGAAATGAATATCACACAAAATCTTCTATAAAAATTGAGATTGTTCATAGGCTTTTAAAAGAACTTATGACTTAGACCAAAAATTAAGTTGATTGTAAAATCTTGCATAGTTAATTATTTCTGTTAAAAAGTGCTTGCTTAAAAAAATCTTACTAAATTGTTTTTGAAAAGAAAAATTAAATAAAATTAATGTAAAATTCAAAATTACATTAAAATCTTAGTCACAAAAGTTCTTTATTTTAGCTTAATTTTCAATTAAGAACAATTAAGAATTAAGAATTGAATACAACTTGTTCATTATCTATGAGATTATGTAGAATTTCAATCGTGAATTTTTGTCAAAGAAAAACCCAAAATGATTTTTTTTTAAATTGAGGATTTGGCAAAAAGAAAAAAAAAATCAAGTGGCGCAGTAGTTTGAAAGTTTGCTCCATATTTGCGGAGTAAGGAGTTAATCCTTACGTCGCGGGTTCGAATCCCACTGTGGGACGTGGAGACAGGTCCTTCGGATGAGACCGTATAAACCGATTTCCCGTATCACAATAGGCAGTAGGTTCTGGCACGAAAAAGATCACTCATTGCTCAATTGCCCTGAATGCCAAGTTTAGCTCTAAAAATGTCACTCCTTCACCGGCAAGTGGTGGTGTCTCAATATGATTGAAAAATTCACGAAAGGGACGTTAAAGAACAAACATATCATAAATCTCTTAATCCTGATGGGAGATTATAAAAGTCCCTTAGATTCACATAATATGTGCATGCATGCTTGTATCAAATAAAAAGACAAAATCGATATTAGGACATACATGTATATGATAAAGACTTTTGTGTATGCTATATTTTGCCAATTGTTTATGTGGATAGTTAACCTTTGATAATTGAGCTTTTTATAAATTATGAGCAAATGAGAATACCATCATTTAATTACATCGACGCTAAAACCTTTTAAAGTTAAATTTAGGTCAGTCAAAGTACACATAATTATTAAAGAATTTTGACACTTAGTATTTTTATAAGTGCTAACAGAAAGGTCACCATGTTACCTTGTAAACGATGAGCACAATAGTATATGTTATCACGTTATACAAGTATTTCAATTCTCATTTGAATTCTCAATTGGTTAGTCTGTATCGTTCTTTCGAGAAAACTTTAATATGATGTCCGTCATAGTCATTTAATATCGGGACGATGGAGCAGTTTTGTAAAATGTTAACATCTTTAAAAAAAAAAAAAAGACAATACACAGGATCAATATCTACTGTAGCATATATCGATATATCTTCCAGGATGGTGAAACATTTTTTGATTAAGATTATAAAGAAACAACATATTTTATCTAATCTAAATTACAGGTAGGTTAGAGGGCTTGAAAAATGTAAAATTAATATACTTAGGTCACCTTTACTCTCTTATCATTACGTACAGAATGCCTAACCTCGGTAATAAATTTTCTTTAAACATTTCTCAGTATCAATGTATTTTCCGCTATCGCTATAATCACAATGTAAATGAAGGAATGAAGGTCACTTATCAGTTGCGAATGTATTTATCATCAATTTATCCTTAACCTAGTTTGTAAGAAAATCTTGAAGAAATTTGTACAGATTAAGAAAAACAGATTAAACACTTCTGCTTGAAGTATATGTATATTTTAGAAGGAATGACTATAAGAATCAATATCATATGAGTTTTTTTAACTTATATTTTTTTAATTATCAGGTAACTGCTATTATCCTCTACATCGTGCTGCAATTTGTATTTCAATCTGGAGCCCAACTTTCGCTTACAGCATTATTCAGTGCAAAACGATCAACGGATGTAGATATCTGGTGGGTTTATGATGAGCTATATTTTTGATTCACATGTCGACTCGGTATATCCCTATGAACTCGAAATAAAACACACCACAGAGTCTGTCACATCTGTTTCATATTTGGATTTACTGACTAAAAACTACAAGGGCCAAATAAGAACTAAATTGTATTTCAAACGAGATTACTTTGGCCACTTAGTTAAATTTCCTTATTAATGTAGTAATATTTCTCCACTGGTATCACCTGTATATGGTGTTTACGTCTCACAAGTTATTCGATACACAAGAGCATATTCAGAGTACGATCAAGATTTAAACCGATGTAACCTCCTGACAGTTAAGTAGATGTTACAGGGATTTCAACAACCTTGTTTCAAAGCAGCATTTCGTAAATTCTTTGTTCGTAATAATAAACTTTAGCAAATCATTGGATCGTATTTTGACTGACTCATTTCATTCATATTGTCAGTACTTTGTTATTACTTATTTTGACAACCTTCTATTCTGTTTACCTAATAAATACATAGGACTTAGGGCTGGTGTTACAGGTCGACAAAGTATCTTTACTCCCACCACTGAATTTTCTGGGGGTCCGTGTTTTATAACCTGTTTACAGATTTGTTTGTAGGTTTCGATGATCACTCTGTGATCTTTATTAGGCAACATTATTAACACATTATTAGGCAACATCGAAAAAGTAGTCATTGTCTTGATTGAATACCAATTTGAAGTCCAAATGAGAACATTACGTATCAAATTAATAAAAGAAATCTAAATTTGGTATAGAGGACACTATGCATTGTTGCTCATTGCTACTGATTCTAAGCCCGTTTGATAGGAAATTAAGGTAGGTTTAAAAAATATATAAAAATATATAAAAACAGGTTCTATGCAACAAGAGGTTGTTGTCCTTCAGCAAGTTTTGCCTACACGTCTGTCAAGTATTGTAGGCGATCATTCAAAATCTGTGATAAATATTAACAGAAGCCATGTTATTCACTTCCTTGTGTGAAGGATCTTCTCTACATGTACAGTTGATATTTAAATCAATATGAACCGCATTTTTGAGAATTTTAGTTTGCTATTAAAATGTGCTATTTTTATTTATTTTTTTTTATGTAATTTGAACCTTTTTGATCAGTTTGACTAAAATTAAGTATTAAATTGTTCAAGAAGAAAGTCGTCTTTACAATGGAATGTATAGTATTATATAAGGAATCAATACCGTATAGAACTCTGCTTCAACCAAAGCTTTAAAATAGTTCCTTCATCACAAATATGAAAAACAGAAGTTTATAAATATAATTTTTTTTCCTGTCATTCAAATAGTTAATTACAATTTTGCAACAAAAATTTTCGACATCAAAGATGCAGCTCATATTGCTTTAAACATATATTAATAATGCCATTAGCTTTTAATTTCATATGAGAACCTTAACGTTGCATTCTCACTATGTACATTTGAGATCAATTTACACATTAATTCACGCAAGACGTATATTTCTCACTCATTTACACAGGGCATATCTGCCAATGTCTTGTATTAATTCATATCTAATTCTAATTCTAGGTATACAAATATTCTAATACTTTTACTTGTCCCTGAGGTAGTTATTTGTCTTCGAGATATTTGGATGTCTAACGTTATTGCAGACAGCAGGTACAGGGAATGGCCACAATTGAAAATAGTTTTTATGGTATGTATGTGTGATTTCTTCTATAATTACTCTACAAAATAAAAATTTTAAAAAAAATGATGATGGGGCTGATGATAATGATGATAAAAATATTGGAAATTTTGAAAAAGAATTTTTTTTTTTTTTTTGGCACTCAATTACATGTTACTCAAACGTTTTCCTTCATATCTTCTACTTACAATTAAAATTATATCTGAGTTTATTGCATAAGGGTAAAAATCAAATAAGTTAAAACCTAATAAGATAAATGGCATAACACAATACACAAAATATATGAGAAAATTTCAAATCCATAAACATCAACCTTTCTCAACAGGATAAAACAACTTTCAATTTTTAATAGACAATCTTTTAATATAAAAATATACCCATTCGTTTTACATAATGTTTATGAAACTCTTGTATTGATTTTGTTTTCATGCAATAAATTTGATAAAATTATACACATCGTAGCCTATTTTTTTTCATATTTCTTATACAATAAATAGATCATTTCAACGTTTCCATTTTGTCTTCATCATACATGTATGATTTTTTTCATTTACTTTGATAGGGCCTAATTATGTCTATAACGGATGCAATGGCGCTAACTTACCTTACAAGTGAAGCATTTCCAAAGCTGCCACCATTTTTAATACCTTCCATTCTTTGTGTTGGAATATCACCTATCATACCCCAGGAGCGAGTAAGTTCTGATGTACACTAATTTCATTCAAATATATTGCACAAAATCGAATTACACTAACATTCAAATAGCAAACATTTTGCATTAAATTAAATTAAATTTGTTAAATTAAGAAGGCACAGATTACTAGGTTTTCTCAGGGAAAAAAACGATTATTTTCCCAAACTGAATATAGACCCATGTGCCAAGTCAAAGTCAATATTTTATGGCAATAAGAATTTTAAAAGAACTTTTATTTACTACTTGTTTCTGATATTACACGTACAATTTTTTGTAATGTTTACAAAGTAAGATCGCAGATCTATAATACCTGGATATTTTATCAAGATGTAGTGCCAAGAACACATTAAAAACCATCCTTTTAAAACTCATATCCCACCTCTGATGTTTTTGGAGGTCCGTGTTTGCTCTGTTCTCGATTTGTATTGTTTAAATTGACTTTGGGCTTGAATACTGTTCGTTATCTCCATATTTCATTAGCTGATATTTTCATTAATTGTCTTATATTGTTAATAAAATATACATCAACATAAACATGTTTTGATATATTTTTTTCCTTGGAAGTTCCTCATGCTGTAAAAATACATTCATCTTTTTCAGACAAAAATGGACACTTGTTCGGGTTGGACTAAGCGAGGAGTCATTCCATTCATTCAAACGTTCCTTGTGATTGTCTTATCAACATTATGTGTGTTTAGCAACATACTTAGTATTAAGCAGGCATCTTTCTTCGGACTTTCTCTATTGGAAATAAATTTAATACGCTATATACCTTTGCAAAAATACATAGTGGGTGCAGATACAAATCAGGCACAAAATGCTAGGCTCTTGTATCGGGTTCTGCACATGACAGTAATTTTACTGACCACGTGGATAGGGTACAGTTATAGCACAGAAAGAGAGAACAGATTTATGTCATTCAACAACATTTCGAATGAAAATTCTTCATATTTTGTGTATACTGTATCAGTATTTGTGTTGTTACTGCAAATGGAATCATTTATACCGACTGTAACTACAAGAATTGCAATGTTATCAATATTGATTTGTTTTTGTGGCACTTTAACTGTAACCATCCTTGCATTGTATATAAATGTTCACAAAGACGACCTGGGATTGTTTGCTTCCATAAGTGCCTTCCATGTGTCTCATTCAGTTTATCACATAGGTCTGTACTCAGTGACTTGCGTTTCAGTGCTTTTGTTTTATTTTTCTAGTTTTTATAATATCCAGGAGGAGACAGAATCTCTTAATAGTAAGCTAACTATGACAATATATGACAATGTATTCGTTTGTCAAAATTTACTGCGAAAATCTCTTTCTAAAATTGCAAACTTGAGATTATTTGATGAAAGTAACATTCGAATATTCTTGTGTACAACAATGTATCAAGAATCAGCTCATGAAATGAGTAGACTTTTACGCAGCTTAAAAAATATTTCCAATTCCAAAAAAATCCAAAAAAGGAATATACATATTGAATCACACATTTTTCTCGATAATGGGGCTAGTGGGAGAGATGTCAAGGAATTTGGAATACAGCTTTTATGTCTAATAGAAGAAACATTTATGATGGAAGAAAGATATGGAATCATGATTCATACACCTTACGGGATAAAATTATCATGGACGGTACCGGGAGAAATGCCATTATTTTTACATTTGAAGGACAATAGCCTCGTGAAAGGAAAGAAAAGATGGAGTCAGGTCATGTATATGAGATATATTATGAGTTACAGGGCAAACTTTCATAAAATGTATCACAAAACCATACATCCATCCGGTTCCAACTTTAATGAGCTTTCCGACTTTGTTAATGTAAGTGTAGGTACTTCAATATATGAACAAGAAAAGCAGACAGACAAAGATATCTTAGATGTGAATGTACCTACGGTAACCTTTGAAACCTCCAGTAAAACATCATCATTCAGCGATCTGACCACAGTAACAAATCTGGAAGAACTTGAGAGTAGAAGGAAAGAATCTGAAAAAGAGTCAGACGCAATTGAAATTGATTTTCCAAACGATACCAAATCAGAGATAACCCTGCGAGTTCCCCGTTTGCATTTCAAAACAAAAAATAGGAGATCTTCATTCGACCACAGTTTTATCTCGTTAGAAAATCTTCAGGACAAGAATACTATAAACAACCTACAGTATGCGTATGATACAGATTTGCAAAATGGAGATTTACCGTACAATTTTTCTGGAGCGAAATTCCGCTCTTCTTCATTCAATGATATTGAGTTCGAATACCATAAACACCAAAGAAAGGATCAAAATAAAAAACACGCAAGTACTCTTGAGGACGAAAAATATCATGACTTTATTTTAGCAACAGATGCAGACATGGCTTTTGACGATGAAAGTGTTCTCAATCTTTTGGACACTATGGAAGAGGATGAAAAGATAGGAGGAGTTTGTGGTCGGACATTTCCAATTGGTATTCACAGACATCCAGTCGTTTGGCTACAGATGTTTGATTATGCAAAAGGTAAATGTTTTAGCATGCCTGATCTTTATGCAGACCATAGCATAATTGTCAGTTTTTAAAAGATTTTTATTATTTTTTTTTATTAATTGATTTATTCATTTATTTATAATTTATTTATTTTCTATTCATTTATATATTTTGATTTTGATTTTTAAAAAACAATATATTGAAGAGGAGTTTTATGATATAAGAATTGTTGACGATGAATTGATCGATTTAAGATAAAACAAAAATCTCAACAGAAATACTTTCATTTATTTTCCAAACATACAAAGTAAATACAGATTCGTGGTTGTCCATGAATGTTGATAGATATATCTCTTTTACAAAAACATAGCATTAAGCGGAACGGATACACAAGGATCATTAGTGCATGTACTAGTATTTACTTTTAATATGCACTTTCTCTTTAAATTCTGGTTAACCCAAGAGTACTTGTATCAATGTTAAATGACTTAAATGATTGAACGCTTTTTTGGTATAACTCCTAGACCTTTTTAATGCATGAAGATTGCTTTGACTCACAGTCCGCGCAGTGGTTAGAGCATTTGTTCAAGAGTCGCGGAGTAAGCAGATAGTCCTTACGTCGCGGGTTCGAATCCCACTGCAAGACCAGTTCTTCTGATGAAACCGTATAAACAAATAAACCAAGGTTTTGTGTCGCAGTAGGTGGTGGCATGAAAAAAGATCCCCCACTGCTCAAAGGCTGTAAATGCCGAGTATAGGTCTAAATTTTCAGCCCTCCACCAGCAAGGAGTGGTATCACAGTATGAGTGAAAAATTCTCGAAAAAACAAACAAAAACTTCAAAGACACATTTACTCTTAATTCATGAGAAGTAAAACTAATCTTCACTGTTTTTGTAAAATGGGAAAGAGTGGCTGAAAAAAAAATAAAACCATAGAACTCCGCTTGGATAATACGTTGGGGTATTTGGATAACTGTTTAATCATCTATCTTAACTTTCTAGATTTCTGGATGATCAAAAGTGCGCAGAACATCATCGGATCTGTTATGTGCTGTCCTGGATGTTTTAGTCTATATCGCTTTGAAGCTATTAGAGACGTCATTGAAACCTTTTCCGAACCTACAAAATCAATTCTGGATGTCTTTACTAAAGATAATGGTATGCCACAATTTATTCATTGTGTATGACTGTATTACTTGTAATTTCATATTTAAGATATTAATTCACAGCTACAAATATTTTTTTTTTCTTCTGTGGTTTTGGTAATTAAATAATACCATTTCAACTTTTGAATCGCCTCCAAACAAGCTATTTACTTACACAAGAAAATAAATAAATGGAATCCAATTAGCACATTAAGGCCTACTGTAAATTTACCAGAATACAACCTCTTAAATCTAAAAACAAAAAAAATGTTCAAATTTCATGAACTTTGTTTAGCATGATATTTTTATTGGTAGAGTTGTTATATGTATACCGAACAAGAATCATGCTTATCTTTGATCAAATTTTTTTACTAAAAAAAGCCTCAAGTCTATGATTTCTCACCTATCTCTAAAATATGTTATAAGTAAAAATGAAAGCTTTTATTTATGAATTATAAACAATGCTTCAGGGGAGGACCGATGGATGTGTACCTTAATGATGAAGGAAGGATGGAACCTAAGATATTCATATCATGGGAAAAATACAACGTTTTGTCCGGAGGAAACAGAGGAATTTATGAAGCAAAGAAGGCGCTGGCTTTTATCTGACTTTGCCAACGCTGCAGTGGTTGCGAGAAATTTACGTGAGTTTATGAGTAGTTTATACACTCCTTAAACAGTCTATTGGGAGATATTTACCTTTTTTCCTTGCCAATCGTCTAAGCGAATTTTTTTTTTTTAATTTATTTTCAAGTGTTTAAAGTTTAAATTGTTTCTAAGTGTAGAAAAGTGAACATCCTTTAAGCACTCTTTGCTATTTAACTCTTAATGAAATAAAATACTTAATAATAATTTTGTCTGCTGGCTTTTCATCGACCTATATTTGTTATTATGATAAGTATTTATCACACACACACACACCCTCACACACACACTCACACACACACATTCGATTTACAATACAAAGTCTGACAGGAATACACTTTATGTGACGTTTCATGGACACTAATAATTGCTTGTTACAATTAATAAAGGAAATGATGCGATTCCAAGGAAACTAATTTCAATAAAATAAGAAATAGTCGAAGAAAGATTAAATTTGAATATTTTTTTAATGACTTTCTTCCATTTTTTTAATAAAACATATATTATGTTGTTAGTTTTCCCAAAATATGATCTACATGATCACCTACAACTAGAGTATTACAGTAAAATCGCTAATTTTAATTTTAGTGGAATGGAAATAGCACGAAATGTTATAGTATCAAAGTCATAATCATAACTACATGTTATATAACTACATGTGACTCGATACTCAAGAGCATGCTCTATATACGAACCATTTCTAAATCTAGGCAAGCTATTGACAATGCAGTTGATGAAACAAGGATATCAACAGTCTCGTTTTAAATCATCATTTTACGAGTTCTATGGTCGATACAATGACCTTGCCAGCAAATATAATCTATCATTAAGTCGAATACTGACTGACGTTTTTCATACTAATTATTTGGGCATTATTTAAACACTGCATTGTCCACGGACTATTTCCGTTTGATAGATCATGAAAGTGAGCACACGGTGGGTGTGACTGGTCGACAGGGGATGCCCTCTACTCCATGGCACCTGATCTTTCCTCTCCTCTGATATTTTTAGATGTCCTTGTTTGCTCTGCTCCCAATCTGTGTTGTTTCCGTGGAATTTTGAGCTTGATTACTGTTCGTTATCTTCCTGTTTAATGTACAAAAGTTGCCCTAATATTCTGTAGTCTGAGCTCGTATATGTCTTCAAAAACGAAACCAAATTTCCACAAACCAGTATTTATTACTCAAAGCATGAAACTTTAACCCAACGAAAATAATTGATTGTACAGTATTTACATCATATTTTTACAGTTCTTAATGTATTTAAATATAGTGATATTCCTCATGAAATACAGAGAATTGTCTACTGTTTATAAATAACAAGCATTGAAGATCTTTTATCCATTTATCTCTCATTCATTTTGATCTTTAAGTATTTCAGCATTTAAATTAAGGTATTCAATTCATTTATTTCTTAAACACGGAAAAAAAACTTAATTTACAAAAAATATTGGAACTTCATTCTGCTTAATTAGATATATCTATATATTGTCTTCAGTTACGAGTATCATATTCCTAACTATACAAAGGAATTTAAATTTACAGCACAACTGATGAGAAACAGCACAGCCTTCACCTTGCTGTATACCTTGTATATACTACAGCTATTTGTTGTAATGGTCTTGTATCCTGGATCTACAATAATGATGCTTGCGCTAGGATTTGAACTTGTCACCAGCTGCCCACTTCTGGCTAATGCTGCTCTACTTTCCCTCGCCTGCCTGCTTTACTGTATTCTTCAAATAAGTTCTTGGGACACCCATAAAAAGCTGATAGTGAGCAAAATTCTAATTTTGCTTTTCGGCTTTCTGACTGTATATGTTTTTATTGCAACCAGCGTGCTTATTGTGGAGGATATTAGAGAAGGTAAGGAACCGTAGCTTTGACACATTTAATATTACTGACTTTTACCAGACGTTATTATAAAATAAGCTAATGTAATTTAAAAAAACATCTCGATGAGAGAAAGAGATGAGTAGCTGTTTGCATATCCATCATTGCCACTTATTTAATATTCCTTTCAGATATCCAGTTTGGGAAAATAACCCACATCGAAAACTTGGTATTGGTTGGAGTGGTAGTAGTGTATCTTTATTCATCTTTATTGCATCCTCTGGAGCTTCACTTGTTGTCCACAGGAATCGTATACCTTTTCTACCTCCCTTTATTGAATATTCTACTTCCGCTTTACGCTGTCTGCAATATCGTAGACCAGACTTGGGGAACCAGAGATGATGTAGGCCTTAGTGTTTACTTTTATAATACTTCAAGTCAGATCTGAACAACTAAAAGTCAATTGAATTATTTAAATGGTATCAATTTATTTTTTGCAATGTTAAATTTTATTTAGAAATGGTGCTTTGATGGGTAGCTTTCTCTTTTTAGTCCTCTACCGGTGAAACCGGAGGGGACTATAGGTTTCCTCTGAGTCTGTCCGTCCGTCTGTATGTCTGTCTAGCTGTCTGTCTGTCAGTCTGTCCCTCTATCTGTCTGTCAGTCTGTCCCACTTGATTTTCCGCACTTTTTTCAAAAGCTTGTAGATATTGAGCTGATATTTGGTATGTGAGTGTATCTTGATGAGTTACAGATCAAGTTTGCATTTCGTTCCCCTTCGATGATTTTTGACGGAATAACGACCTTTTCATTTTTTAGGGTTTTCCGCACTTTTTTTCTAAATGCTTGTAGATATTGGGCTGATTTTGGGGTATGTGACTTTACCTTGATGACTTATAAATCAAGTTTGCATTTCGTTCCACTTCATTGATTTTTGACGGACTTATGGGATTTTCAGTTTTTTTACGGGAACAGATTACACTTGCCGGTAGGGGACTAGTATTACTAATGCAATACTCTCAGAATGCTTGTTTAATTTGTTATTATCAATGTACACATACCACAGAAGTGCATAAACATAATATTTAAAGGAGAAACCTCAAATTATTCTTATGCAGAATTTTCCTTCTAAATACAGTTCATGTTAAATGATTTATTTGTGAGGCATATCTATGTCGAAGAAACCTTTTTATACAATGGAAAAGTTTCATTAACATGATGTTCTGTTGTGCAAACAGATTCTTTTATATGCCTTGGCATGTTATCATATTTCTCTTTACGAAACATCTTAAATACGTAAAGCTCGTAAGACAATAATTTACAGGTAAGACAAAAGAAATGAAAGAACTCAAATCATGAGTTCTATGTTAATATATCAAAATCGATGTCCATATCATATATAGGAGAGTAGCTCTCTGATTTTTTTTTCCAGAAACGTTAGACTCAGAAACAAGAATCCGACATTATTTTTTCATTATAAGTACGTTCAATGTACAGGAATCTGTGAAAACAGTACATGTAAAATATGATACATTTTATACGGCAAGATACAAATTGCTTCGTCAGTCCTTGACCTATCCCTATAACTTGTAAGATCTTTTGTTGGATTTATGAAGCTCCCAATATGAAAGCGAAAATTTTTAATTGTCGATATATATAGTCGGCCAATTATGTTACCACCAATTTCTCAACGCAGCCTCAAATTAAAAAGAGATTTTTGTGATAATTTCTTCATATTCCTATTCTATACTTGTTTATATTAAAGTCTGTTTACTGCTAAACTGCTTTTGATTCAAATTTTGCAACATACTGAACTATTTAATTTTCTTTCACAACTCACAATGAACGCATAATAGGACTTACTTATACAATGTATAAATACTGTTATGTGTATCCTCTTCTTTTGTCATAAATACTGTAAAACACGCTTATAATGAATTGAAGCTAACACGAAGTGATTTTCTTTCCCCTTGGCTTTAAAATATATTGTTAACTGAGCAGATATATAATGAACAAAATTGTGCGTCCCTAGCATTTCGTTATAAGCGTTTTTACTGTATAATGAATTCTGGGTGGATTGATATTTAGTGTTGATTTTTACAGCAAAAGGCATCTGTTCCGAAGATTTTACGGCTGCCAAAGTTTAAGAAGCGGAAGAAGAGAACTAGCATGAAATGTTTGTATCAATTCCACAGGTTCTTCAGCCAAAAAAATTTAATGAAGCTCTAAACAATGCTCAAAGAAGAGGTCTAATTCCAAAATAGTTTTATGCAGTTTGAGTTATCTGCCCTTTGTTGTAAAATAGAGTAAATGGGAATCTACTGTTAACGACGCAATTTGAAATAGATAAAGATATCCTTATCATTGTATTAGACCAGGATAAAGTAATTGAAACCATTATTTGCATCATGTTCTTTCTCTTTCCAATTAGAGTAAACACCAGCGATTTATGTTCAATAATAATTCATTTAAACATTTTCTTGGAGAAATATGGCATGCAGGTACATGTACCCTAGTATGAAAATGAAGAAGCTAACTTAATACATGTATATCCGGATCCCCCTTACATGATACAATTTTCTTCACGTCAAACCGTTCACGGTAGCTCAGTCGGTAGAGCGCTCGCTCCGTGATCGGGAGGTCATGAGTTCGAATCTCGGCTGCGACTGACATAAGTCGATAAAAAAAATGGGTAGTAACTGTTCCTTCGCCATGCGCTCGGCACTTTGAAGTGAAAGTTGCGGGTCCTTCGGATGAGGCGTTTGCACGATAAAGATCCCTCACTGCTCAATGGCCCTGAGTGCCGAGTAAAGGTCAAAATTTGAAGCCCTTCACCGGTATATGGTGAAGTCTCTGTATGAGTGAAAAATTCTCGAATGGGACGTTAAACAACGTACAATCAATCAATCAATCAATCTTCACATCAAAAAAAAAAAAAACTAAATTAGCATTTAGAAATTCCCTGTATATCTTTTCCTTCCTCTGTTCTTATCTCTTTACTAACAAACTATGACCTTCGTTATCTTGAGTTTATAGAGGAAAGTCAAAACTACAAAAAAGATTTTCTTATATATTTTGACTCTATTGTCTCAAATCCTCAGATATCTCGAAGTCCCTTTCTCGGTCCTATCAGATTGCATTTTTATTCTTATTTTTATCTCTTTGTAGTCCGGAGTAATTCTTACGAGAGTCTGAGTTCCTCTGCTATAGATCTACAAGATATCAGTGAGGACGAAACAACATTTTGGCAAAACCTTGTCAGTGAAAGCATCGGCGTTAACATAAACACTGGAATAACGCAAGAAGAGCGAAACACGGGTCTCCGATCTCTCCGGAACAAGACCTTGGCTGGATACCTGTCACTTAACTTGCTGTGGGTTGCGTTGCTGACTGGATTCTATGCATTTTTGACAAAGTATTTCACAGACAAACTGGTGTACGGAATCGTGGTGTTGTGCCTTCTTGGGATTTCAGCATTAGTCCAGTTGCTAGGAATGACTGTGTACAGGCTTAGCGATTGCTTTTCTCGTGTTGCACGTCTGATATCGTAGACAGCTGCAATTATCATTGCGTTAAGACATCTCAACTACAGATTTTGCACAAAAGCTATTCATGTTTTCTACTTTTAAGGACAGTCATTTTTACTCAGGCTAATTTGCGAAAAATGTCACTTTTTCCTTTTTTTTATTTATGGTGAATTTTCTCTGTTTTCGTAAGTCTCTTTATTAATACGATGTCAATTTGCCTACAATTAAATATTTTTTCATGTTGCTCCAAAGTTACACAACATACGTTTATACAAGGTGCCTATTTTGACAACATAACCAAAGTCTTATCATCAGGGTCTTTTTGTAAGGCCCTCTTTTATGTAATGAAAATGAATTTTCTATGTGTAGGTTTGAGAAATCACTTTCTGCACTTTGTACATAATTCATGTTAAAAACTGTTTGTACTGCTAATTGAAATAAAATAAAATCCAAAATGTATTTGGTGCACATATCTTTGTGAATATCGTGTTTTTCCCATATCTAAATTGTAAAACATCATTTACATGTAGGAAGAAAAATTAGACTCAAGTAAAGACTGTATCTTCTTTAAAAAATCGTCCCAGTAGCTCAGTCCGTAAAGCGCTTGGTCGTTTGATCAGCAGGTAGTGGGTTCAAACCCTCGCCGTGACTGACCTATGTCGATAAAAACTAGGTAGCAACTGTTCCTTCGCAAAGCGTTCGATACTTTGAAGTGAAATGTGCGGATCTTTTGGATTAGACTTTAAAAACCGAGGCCCTGTGTCACGGCAAGCGTTTGCCCGATTAAGATTCCTCACTGCTCAATGGCCTAGCTGAGTAGCAAGTAACTTGAAGCCCTTCACCAGTATATGGGGGCTTCTACTGGAGAAAAAAAAATTCTCGAACGAGACACAAAACAACATGATATCAATCAATCTTTTAAAAGAAAAATTAGACAATGCGAACCACTACCACAGAATACGGAAGCCGGTTGGTGCCAGGTAGAAAAAATATTTTATCTAGCGACTTAGCTGGCGGCCGCCAAATAATTATCTGGCGGCAGACAAATAAATAACTGGCGGCCGCCAAATAATTTTCTGGCGGCCGCCAGAAATTATATGGCGGCCGCCAAATAATTTTGGCAGCCCCCAGATAACTTTCTGGCGGCTGCCAGATAAGTTATCTGGCGGCCGCTAGATCTTTTTATTTGGCGGCAGCCAGAAAATTATTTGGGGGCCGCCAGATAAGTTTCTGGAGGCCGCCAGTTATTTATGTGGCGGCCGCACGATAAAATTTTTTTCTACCTGGCACTTACCGGCTTCCGTAACAGAACCACTACACTAGGAAAAAAGAAAAGAAAAAGAGTTGAGGCCGCATAATGGCTCCAAAGTTCTTCAAAGAACTTTAATGCAAGTATATGAAATCTTACAGGTACATTCAGTATGTTGCATGTAGCATCTGCTCAAATGAAAGCTCCAGGTTTTTTTCAGTCACGATTGAGCTATCAGTGACCATTTCGTACACTAAAGATTGTCAAAACATCATCGTATGTTATAACATTACAATTTGATTTAAAATTTGCATTTCCACAGTATCATTTCGTTATTCTGCATAAGATACAGTTGTAAGAGGTCATTAGATTGTATAGTATATTATACATGTACTTTGTTTGATTTTTATTTTAAATCTTGACCATATACTGTAGATTCCTTATTTTACGCGAGTACTTAATATCGCGAAATGGCACAAGGGCGTCAAATCGCGAGAACAATAATTCGCGAATGCGTGATTTTTTTAGGGATTGGTGTTTCTCGCGTAATTACGCGATAATTTATACCTCTCGTATATTTAGGAATCTACAGTAGTACGGCAGATTAGATAAGGGAAAAGGCACACAAGACCCTACGGTTGGGTATGACATCACATTTACAAAAGTTATTTCCCTTTGCAGGGTCAATCTGGGGTTAATCGGCGTCACCCACTGCTTTCCCTCTATAATATTTAAAAGATATGAAGCAGTCTTACAAAATTAAATCTGCGAGTATATGCTCATTACGTTTCTTTCACATCCCATATTCGTCTATCAAAACTTTGATACCGTATAAATGGAATTTTTAGCGAGACGCAAATTTAGCGGTTTTGTCTTAAAAATCAGTCTAAAGTGTCTAAAAGTCTTAAGATCAACCTTCAGTCAAAACGGAACCTCTTAATAATTTCGTCATCACTGTATGAATTCAGTGGATTCAACCTGTCTCTAAATAAACGCTGCCGCTTTAAACTTTTCCGAGATGCTTGATCGTGCACCAGCAAAAAAGCTGCCATTTTTTAAGTACCTCCGAGGTGACGTAAAATTACGTCGGTACGTACGACGCAACGTGACTTAAGGTATGTCACTCGTCAGTCTTTTAGAAAAGTTCAGTCAGAACCTCTTACTTAAAAACTATTTATTACAATTCAATCTTTATAACATATTTGAATTAAACAATGTAAAATGTTCAACATTAAATTTAAAAAACTCCTCAAAAATTTATAAAGAAGCAAGATTTATAAGGGACTATTTCTTGTGGTGAAAGGATATTTAGCAGAAAATTCTGCAAATCTACACATTCATTGAATTTAATATCTTAGAACTTTAGCCTCACATACTTTTACTCAGAGAATATTTTCTGTTATGATATGCCCGGAATATTAAATATAGGTCTCAATTTATATTTTTATAACAAAATTTACACCTTCGCTCAACAAACATTGCCAAGAAATGAAGATATATTAAAGAAGTCAAGATAAAATTTATACAGTTTTTTGCCAGAAAATCGCATATTTTGACGAATATTTCAAAATTTACATCACTGACCCTAACTTTTTCTTTCATTATTTTAAACTACTCGATACTTTTGACCGATCAGCACTTAAGTCGTAAAAAGTTTGATACAAAAAATATTCTATTGCCTATTTAGATTTTTAATACTCCAAATATGAGACTTTTTTAGTGCAAAAAGGTCACACAATAATTTACGCGTATTAATTTGCATGATTTGTTCAATGATAAATATTATTCAAACTATTTGCGTAAAGTAAGACTATGTTTATTGCCATGGTTACATCTGATAAAATATGATAACGGTTGAAGTGATTAACGAAAGAGTTACAATTTAAGTGCAAAAAGGTCAACTTAATTGTACCGTAGCTCAGTTAGATGCACACTGACCCCCCATTTCCTCTGCGATTTTGAGTCATACTATACGATTTTTAGCGAGAAGTAATTTTTGCGATTTAATGATGCCTAGAGAGACAACAGTATCTCCCAATGCAAAATGAATTGTTAGACTAAGTGATATTCAATTTTAGCGATCTCAATACCCTCGCTAAAAACACCAAAATTAAATCCTCGTTAAAATTCTACTTATACGGTATGCAAAACCAATACATGCACTTCAAAATTTTAAGGTGTTTTTTTTTTTTGGTGGTGCTAGATGTATTCTTAGCAGGTTTTTAATGAATGAACTGATAATTCTTTCTTTGGTCTCTCTACTTTAGCAAATGGGAAAAAATGATTCAGAAATAATCAAGAATCCGAAAGCATCCGAAAACGCAATTCGTTAGAATATAAATTTGAACAAATATTTTCATATGTCTAGCAGATCAAGTGCAGGATACACGTCAGACTTTTTCGGTTATTTTGACATTGACAAGCGAATACAAGAAACATGTCGAACCCAGATGCACTGTTTTATTTTTTCCCTCCATTTATTCCGAGATTGCAGACATTTTGTAGCACCACACTTTGTTGATTCAATCTTCAAGTTAATACAAGGACATCAGACCATCTTTGAATTCACAAAGCGTTGTCTACCATCGGCCCAAACATTCACCTTTGTCACTGACTCACGTACATGTATAACACAGTGATAAGCATGAGAAATAATGCATTTGTTTAAATTCATTATAATTATTAACTGTCTGTGTTTATGTTTGTCCTATAAAGTAAATATTAATAAACAGATCTCTAGAACTATTAATTTAATTTGAAATAATCCTTGAAAAATCATTTGTTTTACTTTATTTCAAAAATCTCAAGACGCGAGCCCTGTCTGAGAGAGGAACGAACGACAACTCTGCAAGGGAGATAGTAAACGATTTAAAAAAAAAATACCACAAGGCTAAACATTGTTCTGTATCTTTACATGCTCACTTTAGAATTTACTTTATCATTTCAACATACATGAAATCAAATGGGAAAGAGATGTACATGGGTGGCTAAGAAGTTTACACCACAATAATTCATCCATTATTTAACAGTACATGAACCACATAATAGCATAATACCAGGGTATATCACAACATCTTAATGAATCCGTCGAAATTTGTTAAACTTGTGTTTATTCTGTTTCAATGATGCGTTTCGAGCAATAATATATTTAAAATATGTCAAATATATAGTGGATCAACACCTTTTATTAATTATCTCCTAAGAACTGGGTACGGTAAGCCCAATAATCAGCCCTGTAAAATCTGCAAAAATTAAACGCAGGTTTACATTTTATCAAATGTATTAAGTTACTGTTGAGGTTTCCCTGTGTGTGAGATGGGTAACAATTGTTTCTCACCTCAAGCGCCCTCTCATTTATATAACGTTCAAAACCGGTCTTATATTCCGGAATACCCTTATTTCGGACATTTTCCTCCTCTTCAAGTCTATATTTCCATATGGCCGCATCCGAGTATGTATGCGAAACTTCACAGAAAGAACAGATATAATTAGATTTCTAGTATTAAAGAGAAAAAATGACCATACAAAAGTGCGGCCACATCTGTTTTTACAAAAAACTGCAGTTGAAAATGCTGCATTTTTGTATAGACGTCACTTTTTCTCCATAAATTAATAAATCTATACTTTTAAAGAAATTAATTGTTTAATTCTATATCTGAAGGATTTATTATCTGTTTATTGTCTTTTAAATTCAATTCTGCATTTGTAAAATTATTTAATACAATTTATGCAAATGAAAACCATATAAACCTTTCTCACTGGAATTTATTTTGGGACATTACATGTA